CATCTTCTTTATGGCTACTGTCCTACCCACTGTTGCCACCTCTCAGGGGTTTGTCTAAGTCCTTCTTTTGGCTGTCTTTACGAGTGGCTCAGGATCTTGACAGGCTTGTATCTTCTGCAGCCTCTTTGGGGAAGCCTGGTTGTGTCCATGTTTGAGCCATAGAAGGCTCATTGGTTTTAGGTCATAAAAGGCCCATCAGTTTAGTGTCACTAGAAATAGGTATACCTTTGGTTAAAAAAGGAGGAGGGAGTTCAGTACTGCCAGGAGTATTTACTGTTTGTCCTATCTGAAACCTGATTAAGATATTTTAAAGGATTTTTTTTTTTTTTTTTAAGAGAGAGAGCACAAGCAGGGAGAGGGAGAGAGAGAATCATAAGCAGGCTCCATGCTCAGTGCAGAGCTTGATCTTATGATCTGAGATCATGAACTGAGCCAAAATCAAGAATTGGACACTTAGCCAACTGCACCACCCAGTTGTCCCTGGGAAAAGTTTTTAAATATTTTCAAGACAGCAACTTACTCCCATTGTCCACTCTCTATAGTGAAGTTGTGGTCATCAGGATTGGAAAATTAAAATCATTTGTATTACCAAAGATGGAGAGGCGATGACATGACTGGTGTATCTTATAGTCTAGATGACTCCAATTTAGTTTGAGAAGATTATTATCCTTGTCAAGGATACAAATATAACCTAAGTAAAATTAAAGAATAAGTGACCCTTTCAAAATTTGAAATTTTCTTTTGTTCATTGAAACTGCTTCCGACAACTGATATGTGCCTTTTGAGTCACTGCCCACAATTTAACACAACATGGTTTCTGTGCTCTCAGAAATCTGTGAAAGAGCATAATATTAATTTAGTCTAAAAACAAATATTGAAACCCACAAGACTGGGATTTAGAATGCTCACGTTATGTATATCCATGGAACTTACTGCCAATGAAACACAAATAGTTGCACGTTAAGCCTAGATAACAGATTAATACCTGTCATTAACTGAATCCCTCTTGTGCACCTGGCACTGTACTAGGTGCTTTACACATAGGCTTTTTCATCTCAACAACTCTGCAAGAATTTTTTACAGCTCATTAAAAAAAAAAAAGTGAACATTCTCAAGAAGCGAGAACCTTCCCCAATATCGCATGTGTCATGTGTGATCCAGCCAGAAAGAGAGTCAGTTTATTTTCTGAAAAACTAACTGGAAGGATATATGTAGCTTACTAAACAGAATCAGACGGGCATTATCTTAAAATATCAAGTCTTAAGTACCATCTCTGGGTATACGAATCCTGGTTTGCAGGGTAGCATTGGGAGAGCATGCAGCGTGCGTGGTGTGTCAGGTGTGCTTGTAAGCTTGGTGAACACTCCTGGACTCTGACCGAATGTCTCCGCAGGGAGGCCTGTGCTCCCCACCCAGGATAGATTATAACTTTCTTGGACCCAGACCAGACTCCTGAATTGTTCATTCAGCTGCCAAGCCTGGATTCCTCTCTGTCCAGCTTTTACCCAGACACCCTTCCTTCCCATATTGATGTCCTCTGGATCCCCAGCTGTTACTTCATTCCTTTTCCTTGGAGGCAGACGGAGAACTGAAAGAGAACCATGTTGTTAACCTCCCGCCTCTTGACTAGTGGGGATTAGCCACAGAGAGTTAGCTTACCCATCCAGCTATAGAATAGGGCGCTCTGCTTTCTTTACACTCTTTTATTTCTAAAATGGAGAAGAATTAACCAAACTTCTGAGGAAAAGGGTCAAATAGAATATGGTGAAAAGTTCTTAAACTTAGAAATAAACAAACTGCGATAAGCACGTACAGCAGACATGGTTCTGCCCTTGGGGCGTCTGGCTTCCAGATGTGTGCCGTCGCTGGCCTTACGGGTGCTCGTGGCTCCCGCTGCCACCTGCCACCTGCATAGCTCGTTAGGATTTTGTAACCTGCTTCCTCAGCATCTTCTTCAGGCCTCACTGCAGCCTCCAGCAACAGGGATAATGGTCCCTCCCTTTACTAAAGAGAAAGCCAATGAAGAGGGCCTACTTCTTGCTCGGGGCTGCCTGGAGTCAAGCCAGGTCTTCTGGCTCCAGTTCTATTACCAGAAGAATCTCTGAGGACACATGAGTCTGCTTTCTGTCAAGAGCTCGGCTTTATAGCAGCTGAGACAAATGCGTCGTAACTCGTCATCCTGCCATGCTGTCCTCATGGTCGTACGAAGAGGGCGGCACCTGCAGAGCCATAGACGCCGAAGAGCCTGAGCGGGCCGCTGAAGAGCCTGAGAGGGCCGAGCCTTTCCTGCTGACCCTCGGGCCAGGCCCCAGCTCCCGCGCTGCCGAGTCCTGCCCACTGTCCGGCAGTGCCAGAGACGACGGTGGTTCCACTAGTCCTGGAGGCTGGCAGTGAGGTACCCGAACGTTCAGTACGGTCGACCGAGGTTAGAGCCCGTGGAGTGCCCTTGAACAGAAAAGTAGGCAGCCTGGAAGGATGGACTTATTCTTCGGGAAGATAGGGCCCTGTGAGGCTGCAGGTGGGCCTGCTCCCTGCTGGCCTCCCGCCTCCATCTGTACCAGCCTGTGGAAGCTCTGATTCCGCTGTGCTTTCCAGCTCAGCATTCGAATGAAGAAAACACCAGCAGTGACAAAACAAACCTCCATCCACCTTGTCTGCCTGAAAATGGCGCCCTCTCTACTGGTAAGGGCGGGATTGCGGGACAGGCCCACCCTGCCTCCCGCTCCCTCCCCCAGCCGCAGCAGGGGGACAAGATTGCTCTGGTTAATTCTGGCTTTGCATTTGACTTATTTAAATGTAAACCTGAAAATTTTAACCCAGCTTAACGTATATTCATTTTCATGGTAGATTTAACTTAAAATTCATTCAAGTGTCCAAAAGAAATAACAATTAGCTAAAAACAACCTTTTGTTTAAAAAATTCTCAACTGAGAAACTGGTAAGTGAAACACTAAAATTTTTGTTAGTGATGATCAAATAGGTTTTTTTATGTTTAATGATCTGTAATCAAAACTGAAAGTTCTTATTGAGACCTTAAACATTAGAAAATTTGATAACAACTTGGTGATTTGACAGATTTATCATCACAGATCAATCGGAGAGGTTGCTCAGGGTCACTAAAGCATCAGGCAGCCAATCAGGACTTAGAGCTGTGTTCCAACCTGCTCTGTTCTTCTGCGTAGTTGGTGCCTGGCGCATGGTTCATATTCACTTGGTCGACAAAAGAATCAGTGATCAATCATCTGAATGTTTCCCAAGATGTAGTGTCCCCTCAGGATGGTACTCACTGTCCTGCAGGTCCTAGCCTCAGTCTCCTATACCCTGATGTGGGTCCAATGCACTACGACGACACTGGTCCCTGAAACACATCCTGCGATTACCCCCTTCATTCAGCCTCCCTGTATGTCCTATACATCTACACTTCTCCAAAGCCCACCCTCAGTTTCCCTGCAGCTCAGGTCATTATGTCCATAAATTTTTCTCCAGTCCCATTGTCCTGTGATAATCTCTGAATCACTACAATACTTACGCGCAGCAAGTACAGGATGTGAGGTTGTTGAAGATTGGGGAAAAGAATTTATTATGGCTATTTATAAATTCTAGCCAGCATCACACATAGGTCTGTATACATCATGGATATTTAGTATATATTAAATAAATTTAGGAATGCCTTTTTTGTCCAAAAGTAAACTTATTGTCCCCAAAATACTATCCACATATTTTACACATCATTACCTGATTACTGAGTAATAGAATGGAGTAGTAGCTCTTATCGGGTAATAATGCTGCCATTCAGTGTTAACATAACCCAGTTTTTAAGAAAATTGTCTGAGAAGCATTTCATATTAGCACGATTAAAGGCCAGAATATTAAAGGTTCTACACAACTAGTATGTACACACATCCTGCATAAGAAAAAAGGACCCACAAACCGTTTTTAGAGGAAACATGTTGAGAACCTTACATATACATGAATCCAAAAGATCCATCTGTTCCGTGTGCCACCATAACAGCCTTTGCAGGTTCTTCACAAACATGGAAACCATTCTTTAGAGATTAGGCTCCTTCCCCATTAAAAGAAAATAAAAGGACAAGGAGCAGAGGTTATCTCAAGATGCTGACTTGTCATCTGTAAAAGACAGCCGCAAAATACCATACACAGTGTTTGATTTTTTAAAATGTCACGGCCGGTTCCTTAGCACAGAGCTGACTCTGCTGGTGGCAGGGGCCATTGGGGGGGTAGACAGCTAAACAGTACTGTACAAATGTGTGCATTGAAACTCTCTTTAAAGAATGTGAAGGGGAAGGGGACGGAGGGAGGGGAAAAGTTTCCAATATACATACACAGATGGCACAGTCTTTTCATGGCAATGACCTGAGCCCCCAAAATAAAAAGGAAAATCTACTTGCAAAGGGTCCTTTGAAAGAGTTGATGGATTTCATGGTCCGGTTACACGGTTTGTAGGACTCGAAGATATTCAAGTCTGTGGTAAACACCAAACTGCATGACTCCCTGGAGGAAAAAGCACAGAGAAAGCTGTAGTAGTTCACACTGGCAGTGCAAAGATGGGACTTAAGTAGTTAACCTCACCACTTAAAGGCAAGCGACCGTTTTCCTTCAAATGCTCATCTTTTCTCTTAGCACAAACTGAAAACCGCTGCCAACTACGTTAAATTAACACCGCCTGCTACAGAAATAATTTGATAAAGCATTAACCTTAACCCATTAAAAAATGAGTTAAGCATCTTTCCTATTAAAATTGTATTTTAACAATGAAGGTAATCACATTGTAAGATTATCTGAAAAAACGAGTCTAGTAAACACTGCTCTAAAATTATTTTCTGCTTTTAGATGCCCTCTTAATATTTATTGGTAAATAAGGAGAAGAGATGAAAAATAGAACAGACGTCGTTTTTGATAATGCATTTTTTCTCTTAAAAACATGAATTAAAACAGATTCGAGAAAAATTTATCTAATTTCTTTTAATAATAATAAAAAAGCTGTTCTTGAGCCTAAAATCTGAAGACAGCTGATGAAGTACAGTTATCTCTTTGAAGATTACTGAGGCCCTTGAAGAAGGTAAATGCTCAGAACTTTGCAAAATTCTGATACAAATAAGTTTTGACATGTTCATGGTAACTTTAGGCTTAATATTATAAGTATTCTTAAGAGTATTGCTCCTACATAAGCTTTACACATGGCAATTGATGCTCAGCATAAGTAATTCTTGGCTTCTGTTTATCTCAGAATAAGATGCAAGATAAAACAATACTTAATGCCTCATTAAGATATCTGTTTCAGACTTTTCTCTTTCTTCCTCTAGAGGACGGTCAATATAAGCCTGCATAAAGGGGAGTATTCAAAAGTTTTCTTTGGAAGTCATCTGGTGAAGACTTCTCATGGGGAGAAAAAAGTCGACTTCACTTCTACCTTCCTAAGTTCTCTATAACAAAAGAAATTAATGAAAGAGGGACGCCTGGGTGCTCAGTGGTGGAGCGTCTGCCTTTAGCCTAAGGCGTGATCCTGGAGTCCTGGGATCAAGTTCTGCATCGGGCTCCTGCATGAGCCTGCTTCTCCCTCTGCGTGTGTCTCTGCCTCTCTCTCTCTCTCTCTATCTCTCATGAATAAAAAAATAAATAAATCTTTAAGAAAAATAAATTAATGAAAGAATGCATACAAATTTATCTAATACAAATTTTATGTGATACAGGAGGTTTCAGAAGGAAATGAAGACCAAAGAAATGGTTAAAACTTGATTTTTATCCTAGGTTTGATCAAAATTAGAAAATGAAAAATATGATGGGACAAAAACAAGTATGAGCTGAGAGTAGTAAACAAGAAAACAGGGTCTTCTCAGTGTCCCTCTGTCTTTGGAAAGAAGTATGCTCCTCTCTGGATCCAGGGAGGGCACCTCTCGTTTGAGCATCTTATGCTCTATCAGGGGAAGTCCAGATAGTCATTTCTGCACGTGCCATTTCTTACATTCCTTCAGTTTGTAATATTCAGCATACCAAGGTGCCATATTCTGGGGTAGCATGTCCTGAACCCTGTCATTCCCCCATGAGAAACTTTCCCAAGAAGTCTCCTAGTCCAGACCTCGAGTTGGTAGACTGTCCCATAACCCATGGAACCAGTCTCAGTCCTGGGAAGAGGTCAGTCCTGTCAAACAGTTGTGTCTCGTTTCAGGAAGTGGTAGTATTATCAGGTGGAGTAGATGCCTACCTGTGTTAGGTCTTTCCATGGTATGAGCAATCAGGCACTTAAGAAAGGATATTTTTCTAGAGACAAAACAACAACAAAAAAGAGATTAGGGCAGCCCTTGTAGCGCAGCGGTTTAGCGCCTCCTGCAGCCCAGGGCGTGATCCTGCAGACCCTGGATCGAGTCCCACGTCAGGCTCTCTGTATGATGCCTGCTTCTCCCTCTGTGTCTCTGCCTCTCTCTCTCTCTCTCTCTCTCTCTCTCTCTTTGTCTCTCTCTCTCTCTCTCTCTCTCTCTGTAACTATCATAAATAAATAAAAATTAAAAAAAATAAAAAAGATTTGTTTGTTTTAGAACAAACTCTAAACTCAGTTTTTGAGACCAGAAGGCAGGCAGTCAAGATTTCTAGATAATTGGACTCAAAGCATCTTTTAGATGGTGGAGTGAGGGCAGGCAGTGACGATCTGACAGATTTTCCTGATTTGCAGTTTGAATGTCTGTGGCGTCATCACGTGTTCCAGTGAACTTTCTGAGTGGCCTACACAGCTGTAGGCAGGAAGGTTGTTCGCATGATCTGCTGGAGTGATTTCTCAGAAGTTTAAATCAAGCCCACTATCCTCAGCTCGCAGGGTTTCAAGAAGAGGACAGTTTGGGTTCTGTAATTCTGAAGCGAAATTTAGGGAGAATTTAGAAGTGTTTAGAAATTTAGTGGGAGAAAAATTAGAAATGTTAGTTTAGAGAATTATAGCCAGATTTTGGAGAAAGCCAGAAGAATTCAGGATCCAGTCCTATTTTATTGGTAGATAAGTATTCTGTTTGCCAAGTAAGCCTAGTCTCATTAATTTTGGCCTGATTATTTACACAAGTGCAGCAAGAAAAGTGATAATATAGAATCAAATTTTTAAGTTTGCTTTGCTAGAACTTTCAATGAGGAGTCTCAAATTAGATTTAAAAGCTTCTCATGACTAGGAAGCCAGGCCAAGAACTTGCCACTGGATTTTGCCTTATTGCCTATAGATTTGGCTGAATTCCTGTCTTCCTGAGATTCCCACAATATTTCATGGTTCCTGAGCACCCTAGGAAGTGACATTCCATACTCATCTGTAAGATTGGAAAACCTATAAGCCAGTTACTAGGCCAATTTTTTCTCCCAAGAGAGTTTTATTAGCACTAGCTCCCTGAAGACATCTTTGTTCCTTAAATCTGCCTGGTCGTATCTAATTGTATACATCATTCTCAGATATGACAGTTGAGTCAAAGCCTTGGTAATATAACCAACACTTTCGATTAGTTCCTGTTACAAGGAAAACCGATTTTTATTGGACTTAGGCAAATAACTATATTGTGATGAAAACAAAAATATTAAGAGGTTCTGAACACTGAAGGACCAGAGAAGGAAGAAAACAAATTGTTTCATCTCTGTCCACAAAACCATACTTTACCAAATTGTTGTAAATTACAGACCATTTAAGAGGAAACCCAAATAATAAAAAATGAGCAATGTTTCAAGCAAAAAGTTAAGTTACAACCTTCCTCATCAGTTCCTTCAGTCTCATGTAATTAATTCTTGTTCTAGTTGATCTTTGATTAGCAGTCTTATGACCCCATCAGCTTCATTAGTTTGGAAAATTAGTCTACTGGCATGGTCTCAAAGGAATGGCATCATTGGGCATTCTTGCCTGTACCTGATTGTAAACATGTTCAGAGAAGGATCAGGAGTAAAAACAAGTCTTTTGTCTGTGAATGACAAAAGACTGTAAAATGGCCATGGTTAAAAATCTGATAAGAGGTTATTCTAATGTAACTGACAAGGAACTTTATTTCAGTGAGATATGATACTTTAACATAATAACCAGAATTATGACTGATAACATGATGCTAAACACATCATGAACATCAAAAATACTGACAAATTTCTGTGAACTTCATGCAGTTCTGAAATACTTATATTAAATAGCATATATCTGTACGAATATAACCAAAAGAAAGTTTATCATCACTTCTTGGACAACATTTCCCATGCAGTTTAATATATCAAATAAACCTAATTAGTTTTTTTAAAGAGTTTATTTATTCATGAGACACACACACACACACACACACACACACACACACACACACAGAGGCAGAGACACAGGCAGAGGGAGAAGCAGGCTCCATGCCAGGAGCCCGACATGGGACTCGATTCTGGGTCTCCAGGATCACGCCCTGGGCTGAAGGCAGGCGCTAAACCACTGAGCCACCCAGGGATCCCCAAAACTAATTAGTTTTAACATCTCTTTCAAAGTGAGAGACAAATCCTTTGAGATTTTTCCAGGGACCCTCTTTAAAATATCAAAGTTAGTTTAGGTAGAAAAGACTATCTAGAATTTGATTTTGGAAATCTTGTCAAAAATGTCAAAAGATTTGAATGCTTGATTAAATAGTACCATAGATCATTATAATATACTTCATTACTTAACCAGAGTGACAAAAAAGTGCTTAAAGACAAATACAGAAGGTAACATAGTTGTGAACAAACCCTTAGCTCTCTTAATATGAGAAGATTTGGTTTTCCTAAATAATCAAAGACCTGATGAAGACAGCATGAAGCCCAGAAAATCATTCTGATGACATGCAGAACTTTGGTTCCCCAGGAAAATTACTTAAAAGATTTTTTTAAAAATTGCTTTTTCAGTTTCTTAATGTAAGCAGACAGTAATCCAAGGAAATTTGTCATTCTAGTTTTACATCAGTATACCTCTGATATTAAGGTTCATCTTTTTTGGGGCACCTGGGTGGCTCAGTGGTTGAGCATCTGCCTTTGGCTCAGGTTGTGATCCCGGGGTCATGGGATCTGGTCCCACATCAGGCTCCCCACAGGGAGCCTGCGTCTCCCTCTGCCTCTGTGTCTCTCATGAATAAATAAAATCTTAAAAGAAAAAAAATTTATCAGACAGAGAATGCATGGGTGCAGAGGGCAAGGGAGATGGAGAATCTCAAGCTGACTCTCTGCTGAGCGCGGGGCTCGGTGTGGGGCTCAGTCTCACCACCCTGAGATCATGACCAGAGCCAAAATCAACAGTCCTATGCATACCTGGCTGAGCCACCCAGGCACCCTCATCTTTTGTTTTTTAACTTACAAATAAATCTATTTAATCTTAACAGCTTAAACACAATAAAATTCCTTTTCCTCAGACCTTCTATAAACAAAAAATTACTCAGTTGGGGCTCCTAGGTGGCTCAGTTGGTTAAGCGTCCAACTTAATTAACTGCCATATTCTGTAGCACGACTATGAGCTGTCCGCCACATACTAACAATCTGTAGTTTGTTAGCAAATATATGAATATACAACTTCACAATTTCTAGAGGCATATGCTTCCTCTAAGTATAGCTTTTCAGCGTGGCAAAGCACATGTTTGCTTACAGACGTAAGTATATTCTGTCTCTACCAAATTTAAGAAGCAAAAAGTACATAAACTTATAATGAACAATTAATGTTTCAGTGCTTTAAGGTATTTGGAAATGGTCAAGATAGTCAATGACTCTCCATCATTTAACTTATAGCTAAGTTTCTAAAAAAATTTTTGGAAACTGTTTTTAAGTAGACATTATAAAACAATGGTTTTTAAAAAGCTCATTTATAAGCTTTTATCCCACTTACATTAAATCACTTATTCTTAGTAGTTATTTATGAATTGCTCATGAACATTTTGTGAGATATTAAACAAGACCAGCCATCATTTTAAATTATTTTTCTTCTGGACAAATCAAGCAAGTATGAAAAATATGTGATTCTCCCACTCTTTTTTTCCTCCCCCCTCCTCCTCCTCCATATTCTTCCTTCTTCCTTTTTTTTTTTTACACTGTTGTCCTTGACATACACCAAGTAATGTATTTTTATTGTACATTTTGTTCCAGGTTGGGTTTATATTTCATAATCTTAAAACATTTATTAGAGATAACATAAGCTTGTGTGACTAGTAAACCTAAGTAGAAGAAAAAAAAAAAGCCTTTATGGTGCATTATATTTAAGACTGACAGCCCTAAAAATATACCTGTTTTTATCTTATCAACAATTGTAAAGCTAGCTTTATTTACCAAAGCTTATCCCAGATCATGTGAACTTAAAAAAATAAAAGTTTGGGTTGTTTCTATATTTCTGTGAATTTTAGAAATAATTTATGTAAGTGCTCATTTATCTCTAAGTCAATTTTAAAAGCCCTCCTTTATGAGATTTTATAAATTAACCTGGTAATAACTTCCAGAGGTAGAATAATATCACATATCCATAATCTACACACATATATATAGACAGCACAAAGATTTCATAGCTTTTATTCCAAAATTTTGCTGATGTTTTAGTAAAACTCACTAGTTTTTATCCATTTTATATCTTTATCTGAATTGTGTTTCTGACAAATAGGATAAATTGAGGGTTACCTACTCAGCATGAGGACTAATGACTTTACTAATATTTTTGGAAAAGGCT